TGTGGGAAGATTTGCATAACGCCGCCCAAATGTTCACGCAAAGAAAGAAGGCGTAACTTTTATTCTCCCTGTAGTAGTTGCTGCCGCCACCGCCATGTTGTGGAGACGCTGTATGTTTCGTTATGAAAGCGAAATTCCCTAAAAGAGCCAATTTCTCTAAAAGAGTACAATAAGCGGGTAAAGACGACGGATCGTCTTTTTAAAGATGACGTTTCACCTGTGCGTTTCTGGATGCGGTTGTTACCTGGCGCCGGGTGATGGTCACGATCGCTGCCTCGTGTGTCTGGGCATTAAACACGCTGAGGTGGCGTTCCTCTGCCGCAATCTAGTCTTCGTCCTGGCGGCAGCCAGGCATGGACTACTTCGGGCAGTAGCACGGGTGGTCTGAGGGTTACAGTGGTGGCAAACCCCTCAGGGAACCAACCCTCGTGGGACCATCGCTCCTCTAGCGCTTCGCAACCAGTTGAGCCGCTAAAGGAACGCGCTGGGCCCTCTTCAAAGAGCCTACCTCTCTGGAGAGGAAGATTCGGCTGCGCTGCCGCCCTCCAAGACAGTGGCAAGGCCTGAATCGGAGAGGAACATTCTGCTGCGCTGCCGCCCTCCGGGACGGTGGCAACGCCTGAATCGGATCCAGAGATGTCGGCTATGCTTTCCCGGGCTGCCGAGAGGGTAGGGCTTGAGTGGAAACCTTCACCGCATCCCGGGCCCTCGAGGTTAGACGATTGGTTTCTCGGGGTGGCTCACGCTGGTTCTCAGCACCCTCAGTGCCTTTCTTCCCGGAGGTGCATGAGGAGCTCACCAGGACGGCACCTTATACTGCTGTAAACCGACCTGCTGGTTCCTCCTCCCTCACCACCCTCGACGATGGTGCAGCTAGGGGGTATACAAGGGTCCCTCCGGTGGACTGCACGAGGGTGGTCATGATCCGGAAGTTCTGAAAGAGCTCCGATCCGCTACTGACCTCGTGCTCCGAGCGACAAAGGTCACCGCGAGTTCTCTGGGTCGTGCGGTGTCCACACTTGTGGTCCAGGAGCGCCATCTCTGGCTGTGTCTGGTTGATATGAGGGACGCCGACAAGGTTCGGTTCCTACAATGCCCCTGTGTCCCAGACCGGCCTCTTCGGCGACGTGGTCGAGAGCATTGCCCAGCAGTTCTCGGCTGCACAGAAGCAGACTGAGGCGATTCGACACATCCTGCCCCGGCGGGCAGCTGCTGCCTCCACCCATCCGCTGGACGAGGTCGTGAGCTTGGCCCAGCAGCTCTCGGCTACACAGAAGCAGACTGAGGCGTGTCGTCACACCCTGCCCCGGCGGGCAGCTGCTGCCTCCACCCATCCGCCGGCAGCAGCGCACCAGCCTGCTTGTCGCCGAGGGCGGAAAAACGAGAGAGCAATATTTTCTGTCCCTGGGTCCCAGGAGGGACATCTTCGGGTGCATCCGTCCCCGAGATTGGTTTGCAGCAATTGACCTGAAGGATACGTACTTTCATGTGTCGATCCTTCCGCGACGCAGACCATTTCTGCGGTTTGCGTTCAAAGGACGAGCATATCAGTATGAGGTCCTGCCCTCCGG